TTTCTCTGGAGATAAAAGTGGTTTAAACTTACTAACCAAATAATGTGCTATAAATTATGTAGGAACGAGTTATCGTTGTTATTCCAATACTCCAGGAAGGGAAAGTGAAGAAAAGAAAATCTGTTATTTACTCAGTGTTCCACATTTAGCCATTGAGAAAAAAGTTGTAGAAACAGGGTCTCATAGCTGACAATGCTGTACTCTGTCCATTAAACTTATGCTGCTCACTTGAGCATCTCATAGTCTCTATATGTAATGAAGTTGCATTAGTGCAATCAATATGCCTTGTACTGAGAAGGAATAACAACTTGGTGTGGTCTAGAAAGGACCTGTCTTCCTGTCCTTCTATGTAATGGCCATCAACGTTACTGTTCCCTCAGCTTTTCAGGTTTCACAGGGGACAACATGCTTTAGTGATTGTGAGAAACCATGAAGGGTGCCCAGCTTTTAGACACAGTGTAAGCAAATGGTTGTATCATCTCTGCTCCATTTCCCTCTCCGTGAAAAAGAAAAGCATAATATTTAACAACATCATCAAGCTATTGTGAGGGTTAATTAGATTTAATGGGGGAAGGGAGGTGGGCTGATTAGGCACTATTCAAATTCACAGAATCATTATTTTGTGTCTAAAAATAATCCTGATTTAGGAATAAAATTAATTTGGAAGCTCAATCTTTGGTAATCACGTTTCTGTACTTTAAAAACAGCCACAGTTTTAATCAAAATCCCATTCTAAGCACAATTCAGTGAAATAAAAATGGAGACCTGTGAATTTCCATTCACCTCTGAAGTAATACAATACACACTTCAAGTGCAATTTTTTTCTTTTATAATAAATATGGACTTTAAAACCTACATTATTTTTTGTTTCACATGAAATGTTTGTGAAACACTTTAAGTTGGCACCTTTACAGAATCAATAATCAATGTTTTGTGGCTGAACTAACTTTTCAGATCATTTCTGGTAAATTTCATCTATATTTCTGTTGAAGAACTCATCGGTAAAAGATCTTTGTATTCCCCAAGTTAAAAACAAAAATCTTTGGATATTTAAGACTCAGTCATAAAACAATTATCTAACTATATCAAAATTAGTATAATAGATTTACTGTGAAAATCTTCATGAGAAGTAGAAATTGGTACCTGAGAAAAATCTGAATATTGTTGCCTAAATCTCACTGGAAAATTTACAGTATCTTCAAAAAAAGAAACATTCTTTTAAAATGTAATGGTTGATAATCCTGGAAAGTATACCGTATCTGTTAGGAAAAAAATGTTGCACTCAGTTTTGGGTGAGTGAAGAAGTTTTGGCTGGAAAGCAACTCTGTCATGTTTACTTATACCTTTCCAAAGGAAAGGCAGGCTAAGTAGCTCAGCGAGTAGAAACGTATTGTCTATACAGAAGCAGGGCTAATTCTCTGTTGTTTTAACACAGCTTTATTAAAACTTCCCATAAGCCTTACAGGTTCTCATAATTTAGACTGTGTACTCACCAAGCAAACTTCTGATTATTCATTCGATTTCCCCGGACCCTTGATACTGGGGACGGATGTACCCTGTAGATAGATAAGAGTAACCCAATCATTGAAAAAGAATGTTCCCAATGATAAATGAACAAATAACAAGGGGTCTGGTTAAGAAATGATTTCTTTTAGATTTGCTTAATATAAAAATCCCCCAGAAATGGATCGCCGCTTAGTAAAAGGATGCAGTTCAATACCCACGCCTGCAAACCTGTGGAGTTTGTCTCTTTTCCCTTCTGGACTTTAACATAACAAGGGTTTGTCACAATGTTCACTGTGGAGATCCCGAAAGCAGGACCACCAGTTTTAATCAACTGATTCTTTCATTCAATCCAACAAAAAGTTACTGACTCCCTAGTCCTGGCCTGGTTTAGGAGTGGGTAAAAATGATGTAAGGTATGGTATTTGCCCTCAATGCATTCTTCCTGCTGCCTGTTCCCAGAGTGGGGCATAAGAGACAGTCCAAGCACCTCAGTCAATTTCTAGATTTAAAAGCCTAAAAAGCAAGATAATAAAGGGGATCAGGGTATGCCACCTCAAACTATGCTACTTTGGCATAAGGATTATTTTGAGCTGAAGGTAACTGAGGAAAAGCAGACCCAGGAGGAACTCTTTATCTTCTCTTTATAGGCCTAAAAGCAGGGCACGCATTTATCTTCTGTAAAGAAAATGTTCATTTGTACAGATGACCCCTTCTCCCATACCTGGAAGAGTAGTACACATACGATGGTGCGAGATGACTCTGCATAAAAAAACCCTTCTTCACCATTCGTTTCCTCCATGCATTTCCTAGTTACCTTCTTACAATTTACCCCCCGCCCCAGAAGCCCAGACCACTTTTCTGAGTTACTTATCACTGAGCACTCTTGCATGTATGTACAATATGTTGCACACATAAACAGTTTTTTTCCTCCTGCTAATCTGTCTTTTGTCAGTTTAATTTGCAGGTCCCCAAACACAGAACCTGAGAGGATACAGGAAAAGTTTTTTTTTTTCCCTCCCCTACAATAATTTCATCCAAATGTCCAAAAATAGAGCCTGTGGGACTAGGGGGAGGGAGGAAAGGCAAACAGTTATTTCTAGGAGAAAGACCTTCTAGATGTGATGCTCTACAGCTTTGAGTTTTGAGGAAGGCAAAGTCTATTAAAAACTTTAACAAAATATTGGAGAAGACTATATTGTTTTACAAGCTTCCAGTGTTGGAGCCATCCACCGAAAATAGTTCACATTTCTAGGAGCTGCTGGTATCTTCGAATCAGGAACTAGCTGCTGAACCTAGACTTTTTTGTGGGTCATGAACTGGCAACACAGTATGCCCTACTTCCTGCTTTCCTGTGGCAAACTTCCTGTTTTGTTCTAGCTTTACTAGGATGTGTGAGATCTAGGCAGTCTTTTAGCTGGTGCTATCTTTAATCTTTCTGTCTCAGACACTATTCTTATTTACAAGGCAAGAAAGAAAATGGGGATTTTAAACTCATGTTAAAGTTCAGTTAGAACCCACAGCTCCAGTTCTCCACAGTTGTTCCGTAAGTGAAAATCATTTCAACACAGATAACACAGCTTTCTCCCCTCAGAAGGGCCAACTGTACTCTTTCAGTAAGTCCAGGGCCAGACTGCACTTTGCACTCGGAAGGCTTATTTCTTCCAGCATCCTTTATTAACACTCTTTTCCTCCCAGCACTTCTCAATGGATGCTGCAGCTGAGCTGCTCTGCACAGATTTTCTGCTCCACATGGGGGAGGGGATGTTAATTATGCAGAAAGATGGAGAGAGGCCAGACAGCCCCTCTCATTCAAGCAAGGCCCACTTCCTGCTGTTTTGCAGCTACAAGGATCACCTGTTGGTCTTGGCATCTGGCCAAACCAAGGCCTAGCGGAAATGACAGACTCAGCGAAAAATGAAAGCCTGTTCATATTCTAGTACCCCAAATTGGGGAGAGAGAGGAAAAAAAAAAAAAAAAGCAATAAAAAAGTGCAAGCATCATACAAAAGGTAGCAAAATTCATTTTTTCTTCCCTTCTTTCTCTTTGCTTTCAGTCTGTCTGCTTGAAATACAATCATCAAAATGGGACTGGGAGCCAGAAAACGTCTCCCTGGTTAAAGCCCCCCGATTTAAGGGAAAGACAGGAAATCCTCTCTATCCTTCCTTTCATCCCCACTGGTGTCAGTCTTACTGCCTGAATCAAGTTTTAACAAGTAACAGCCCAAACAGTCACAGTTCTTTAACCCACTCTACAGACTTTCAATGTTTACCTCTTTTATTATTTCCTCCTTAACTCTAGAATTTCTGTCCATCACAATAATTCCACCAGAAGTTTGATGATAGAAGTATTCTCTTATTGATGGTGGTCACTGCATGTATCAGTGGAGTAAAGTAGGCCTGTTTAACCTATAATTACAATATTCTCTAGGTATCTGTATCTTGTAGTAAAACGTCATTGCCGCATACATCAAATACTATAAGCAGATACTTTCTGTAACAGGTTAGCAGTTTTTCCAAAAATTCCTGATTGTGTTTGTATGACCAAATAATTATGAGTTCTCTGAAATTAAAATGCTGCAACAGAAAAGCTTTTAATCCCTTCCCCAAGTTAGTAAATTTATAACCTAGAATTTACTATATCTGATAAAGTAGACCATACAGGCCTGCATGTCAGCGACCTCCCAGAGTTTATTTCTTGAAAAGGATATGCAGTGTTTTTGTGAGCTCAGTCTTTAAACTGTGACACTTTCGGCCACTGCCTACCTTCTTTCCACATATAGCAGCAGCCAGGCAGGTAGCAAAGGCAAAAAACCTCCGCAGGAGAGCCCACTACCTAATCTGCATGTCATGCATTATTCATGACCCCCTGATTTCTGCACCTGCATCTAGGCAGGAAGCTTGCAGGGAACGTTCATTATTCTTCCCTTAGCCTCACACAGGCCCGATTACTGCTAAGCCACTTTGTTCTGTAACTAAGGGTTTCAGGCCTTGGTACTAACCGCTGGGTACGGAAAGAAAGAAAAGAAAACACCACGCTGGAGAAAAGGGCAATCTTGGTTGTTGTGTAACATGCACTGAACTCTACAACGTGCCCTTCTGAGACTGACAGTTCATGTCAGATGGAAATGCTCACATTTGGTGATATACATCACATAGAAAAAAGGAAGCTATAGCATTAAGGCCACGTATAACAACTGTTCTATTTATATATACTTACTCATCCGAGGCAGACAGCGTGTTTATAATTTTATCCAATGCTGGGCTTCATTTAGCTTTCCTGCTAAGCATATAAGAACTTTTTAGATATCTTAATACAGAAATGACCCTTCTTTGTTTGAGTATAAGCACCAAAGGACTTTACCCTCAACTCTCTTATTTTAATGACTAACATTTATAGTTAATATGATCACTGTTTTTCAGCGTTTTCATGAATCTACTTGAATGGCTGTTGGCTGGAGATGGGATGAGAAACCCGGGTACCCAACCCAAATTACTGATCATCCATGAGCTGCTGGGGAAGGGTGCTGATCCTACCTTATTACGATCACCCCCAGAGAAAAGCTGTGACAACTTAAACTCAACCTTGTAGCCCCCCACTGGGATTAGGATGAAGTGATAAAGAGTACAAACTGCGTAACCAGCCTGCCTTGGAGTGAATTCCAGCTCCACCATTAAGCAACAGCATCATCTTAGGGCAAATTATTAATACTTAACCTCCCTGTGCTTTGGTCTTCTCATCTATACCAATGGAGGCAATAATGGTGACCACCTCCTAGGCTGTGAGATCTACCTAGATTAACAGTTGTAACATATTCAGAACAGTGCTTGGTACCCAGGAAGCCATCAACACATTTAACTATTATATCTAGCAGTGTTGGGTGGACTGGAAAGGATGGGAAGATGGAACTGGAATACCTAGCACATCGCAGGGGACTGAGATAACAAATGTGCTCTGCAGAGCCTGCAGTTTTCTCTACTAAGTTTACGTGGCTTCACTAATGAACACATACACAGAGGGTGCCAAAAAAATGTATACATATTAAGAAAGGAAAAAAAAAACTATTATAATTGTAAGACTCAATATATATCGAAAACAAAAGATGAATACAAGTCATGTTTGGCTTCTGCAATTACAAGAGGTGCTCAAAATGGTTACCATCAGCGTCCAGACACTTCTGATTATGGTGAACCACTGCCCGAGCAATGTTGACCAAAGTGTCCACTTGTATATATATTTTTTGGCACCCCTGGTAGAGTAACATGAACCAAATACTGTGATTTCTAAGGTATGGCTTACTCTCTGGCATCTCATTTTTCTGTTCTTTATTAGAAGAACCTATCTTCTGTTTATTAAATTGTACAGTATTTCAGTTATGTCCCATTCAAGAACAAGTCAGTAATCACAGCAACACAAAATCACCCCCATTTACTAAGACCTTACTACGTCACAGACTCCAGGCTTAGAACTTTAAACATATTATCTTATTTTATTCTCCTATAACATTATTACCCACACTTTATCTTTGAGAAAATAGGTTTAAAGAGTTAGGTAACTCGCCAGGGTCCACAGCTAGTGACCAGCAAAATCAGAACTTGAACACAGGTATGTCTGAGCTGTCCTACTCCAGATTATCATCCAATCTTTATGAATGCATATGTATTCCCTCCACACTACCCTAGACGATGCAATAAGTAAAATAGCACTAAGGGATTTAATGAGAGACACAGCATTTTCTTAAGCTCAATTGTACGTACTATAGTATAAGTAGATGCAAAGTGTAAGTGCTGGTTTTCTTGGCCTAAATAAAGTTGACACTGGACTAAATAGTAAGCATGTGGGTACTCCCAAGAAATACATCATAGTAATATACTATGTTCTCCCTTTCACTGTTATGAAGATTCATTGTTATTAGTGTTGCTATTTAAATACAAGATGCATAATGCATGCAAGTTTTAGACGGTAAAATTAATTCTAGCTACATCCACTTCCTCTTTTCCCTTTTTTTTTTTTTTTTTAGAACCCAATCCAATTTAGTTTGTGTCCACATCCC